AGGGCCTTGAACACCAGCTCCTTTACAACAGACCCTGCTCAAAATGCCCATTGGTGCCATCGCAGGTGGCTGTGGTGAAGTCAGAGGATGCGGAAGGAGATTTAGCATCCCCTGGTGGGCAGCCCTCCCCAGCAAGTGCCACTTCACAAGTGGTAACCCTCCATGTGGCAGAGCCGGGAGGCGGTGTGGCAGCCGAGAGCCAGATAGGCACCCCTGACCTACAGCAGATCACCCTGGCACCCGGTCCATTTGGCGCGGCTGGCTACAGCGTCATCACGGCACCCCCTATGGAAGAGGGGACATCGGCTCCTGGCACACCTTACAGGTAAGACCTGCCATCTGCAAGGCCTCCTTCAGGCAGTTACAGGTATTCTGGGGGGGAGTCAGATGAGGACCCTGCCCATCCAAGCCTAGTCGGCAGGAGGTGGAAATCCTAATACATATAAAGTGGCCGTAAGTGAGTCGGGTCCTTCTCAGGAAGGCAGAAGCTACTATATTTTGGCCACTTAAATGTTCCAGGCACTTGACATTCATGAACTCATGTAAGCCATTCCCATGAGATCCATGTTTCCCTTATTTTACAAATGAGGAAACTGACTACAGAGTTTAAGTAACTCACCTAAGGTGAGACATGCAGTAGGTGAGGATTTGAACCCTGCTCCCTTTGGTTCCAAAGCCTATGTGCTCTTTGTTCTGGATGATTCCAGAGGTGTTTTCCAGTTTTGACCTTCAGAGCAAGCTCAGGCTCCTTGTTGGCATCGGAGGCCTGACACTCGGCTTCTTCCACACTGAGCGAGTTGGGGGCAGAAATGTTTATCATTTGTTTGTTGACCAAACTCCTGGGTAGTCTAAGGAAGTCCTGAATCCAAATACCAAACTTTTCAGCTGAGATGGGAGTCAAGATCACTGGGCCAGTGCCTGGGCAGCCCAGCCTCTTGGCACCTGCCCTTTACTTTTAGGATGTGAGTGCTTGTCAGCCCTGCCTCTCCCACTTGGCCAGACTTAGGCTGGCCTGTGGGGCCCTCTGCCTCGCTGCTTCTTACCACTTCTGAGCAGGACAATACTTTTGGACACCTGGTCACTATTTACGGAAGAGACAGTAGAGGTTTAGCTGGTAAAGGGCCAAGCCAGGATGCAGTCCACGAGTCCGTCTGCAGTGCAGTAACCCCTCACTTGATGACTTCCTTGGGGGAGGGGACTCCTTTCCCCTCCCAGAAGCATGAATCACCCCTTCCCTCTGTGCCCACAGTGAGGAGCCCCCAGGGGAGGCAGCCCAGGCTGTGGTTGTGAGTGACACCCTGAAGGAATCTGGCGCCCACTACATCATGGCAGCCGACGGGACCCAGCTGCATCACATCGAGGTGAGGCTGGGCAGCTCACCCCACCCCATTTCCTACCCTTCCCTCCTCAGTACCTCATGCTCCCATCTCTCCACAGCTGACTGCAGATGGCTCCATTTCCTTCCCAAGTCCTGATGCCCTGCCCTCTGCAACAAAGTGGCCCCTGCTGCAATGTGGGGGGCCACCCAGAGACGGTCCTGAGCCCCCCTCTCCAGCCAGGACTCACCCGCTAGGGGACCCTCAGGGCTCTGCCTCCCCACCTCCTACAGCCAGCAAAGCCCTGGGCCTGGTAGCGCCCCCCTCATCGCCATCTGCAGCCACTGCATCGTCAAAGAAGTTCTCTTGCAAGATCTGTGCAGAGGCCTTCCCTGGGCGAGCTGAGATGGAGAGTCACAAACGGGCCCACGCTGGCCCGAGTGCCTTCAAGTGCCCTGACTGCCCCTTCAGCGCCCGCCAGTGGCCCGAGGTCCGGGTAGGTACCGCCCCCTGTACCTCTGCTGGCACTCACTTGGTTAAGAAACCTTGACTGAGCACTGCCTTGAGCTAGCCCTCTGCTCCTCTCTAGTCAGAAGTGACTCAGCAAGGCTCTCAAGGGGCTCAGTCTGCGGGGAGGGAGACTGGACATGTAACTGATGCCCAACAGTGACCCCAGAGTGAACAGTGCACATGGCAGGGAACAAGTCAAGTGAACTTGGTGCTAGGAGATGTCACAGGTGGTGTGGCAGCATGAGCTGCACTTGGGGAAATTCAAGTTGTTGAAAATGTGGCAGGTATGGAGTTCAAAGGCCGTTCCAGGGCTAGTTCACGGTACAGTTTGGGGGCTCCCTCCCTTCACCTGAGGATTTCGTTTTCAGTTCCGACCTTGCACGGAATCCTCACAGCAGCTCGGTGAGGGAAGCTGGGTCCTAGAATGTCAGGCTGAGGGCGACCTCAGAGGTCACTTCATCCAAATCCATGTGTTACATAGGGGTATACTGAGTCTGAAAGCAGGGACAGGATTTTCCAAGTGACCTAATGATGGAACCTATAGCTTTTTCCTTTCAAGCATACAGCACCAAACCTTACCCAGCTCCTCTCAGATCCAATTCAGAGGGTAGGTTCTGTGTCGGCTCTGTGTGCGGAAGCTCTGTCCTGACCCAGCTGATGCCCACCCCACCCCCCACCCCCCGCTCCTTCCTTAGGCCCATATGGCGCAGCACTCGAGCCTGCGGCCCCACCAGTGCAGCCAGTGCAGCTTTGCTTCCAAGAACAAGAAGGACCTGCGGCGGCACATGCTGACCCACACCAATGAGAAGCCTTTTTCATGCCACCTCTGCGGGCAGCGGTGAGGCCAGCAACAGTTGGGGTGGGGCTGCTGAGTAAGGATGGTAGGGCCACCCCTGAGCCTTCGTCCCTCCCCAACAGTTTCAACCGGAACGGGCACCTCAAGTTCCACATCCAGCGGCTACATAGTCCCGATGGGAGAAAGGCAGGGACCCCTACTGCCCGGGCCCCAGCCCAGACCCCCACCCAGACCATCATCCTGAACAGTGATGACGAGACACTGGCCACACTGCACAGTGAGCTGCCCTAGGGGCCCGAGGGTGGACCAGGGACTTGAGCCACCGCTTCAGAAAGCACCTTTGGGTCATGGTGGGGGCCAGGGCATTTCAGGTTTCTCTGGAACCCCTGAATGAGCATCCTTCATCTCTGTCCAGCCGCACTCCAGTCCAGTCACGGAGTCCTGGGCCCAGAGCAACTTCAGCAGGCACTGGGCCAGGAACACATTATTGTGGCCCAGGAGCAGACGGTGACCAATCAGGTGAGAGTCTAGTTTGGGGGCCCTGCTGGCAGATCAAGGGCAGAGGGTAGGGGTGCATGGAGAGCTGAGGCTAGAGCTGGCTTGGCCCTGGCAGGAGGAAGCCACCTACATTCAGGAGATCACCACAGCAGACGGCCAGACAGTACAGCATCTGGTGACCTCTGACAACCAGGTGAGCTGCTGCTGAAGACTTCAGCACCCCACTTTTGGGGGGAACAATACTTTCCAAGCCACCTCTCCTAGAGTATTGCCAATGGTGGGTGTCCCTGGTCCCCCTGCTCTGCCATCCTGAGCTCCTGGTGGGTGGAGCCCTAGCACCTGCCTCCTTTCCACCCTTCTTCAGGTACAGTACATCATCTCTCAGGACGGAGTCCAGCACCTGCTCCCCCAGGAATATGTTGTAGTCCCAGAGGGCCATCACATCCAGGTAGTCCAGACCTGGGGCAAGGGTGGGGTGTGAGGGGAGGGATGCACAACCTCCTTCTGGGATCACCAGATTGGCTTCCTCTCTCTAGGTACAGGAGGGCCAGATCACACACATCCAGTACGAACAAGGAGCCCCATTCCTTCAGGAGTCCCAGGTAAGTCTCTTGGGGGACCAAGTGGAGCATGAGCAGGGTTCTTACAAGGCCACATCTCATTGGCTGCTTTTCTCCAGATCCAGTATGTGCCTGTGTCTCCAGGCCAGCAGCTTGTCACACAGGCCCAGCTTGAGGCTGCAGCACACTCAGCTGTAACAGGTACGGACGGGGCTGGACCCTGAGGATCATGGGGGCCGGGCCTCAGGCCTAGTTTCTGGGGCCTCAGGCTCACCATCCTTTCCCCTCCCCTGGCAGCAGTGGCTGATGCTGCCATGGCCCAAGCCCAGGGCCTATTTGGCACAGAGGAGGCAGTGCCTGAACACATCCAGCAGCTGCAACACCAGGGCATCGAGTACGACGTCATCACCCTGACCGATGACTGAGCCCCTGGGACCCAACGCAGACCATGGATATTGGGGCCAGTCCTGCTGGGGGTTGAGGGGACCCATGGGGACTCACCTCCCTGCTCCACCTAGGGTCTCCAGATACTGGGCAGCCAGTATTCTGTCACTCCAAGGGAGCCAGACCTGTGCTGTGGGGGTTGGGGGACAGCCATGGGCCCCAGCCAGGACATGTTGGGTGCCTCAGCCTGCAGGCGGGCTTTGGGAGATAAATTTATTTTTGTTTGGACCCACTGGCCCCTCAGTCTCAATAAAGGGACCAGAGTCCAGCCCTGGCCAGCTCACTTTGTCCACTTGCTGCTGCAGCCTGAAGCAGGCAAGGACTGACTTGGGGAGCAGAAAGAAGGAGGAGCCTGTTACAGCCACAAGGGGGGAGTGAGGCGAAGGCGGCCTAGCCCACAGTGCATCCAGCCTTGCCTCTGTAAGTATGGTGGCCCAGCAGGGCAGACCCTTGGGGCAGAGGCCTGACACAGCCTGTGAGAGCCCCAGCTTCCCCTGGGCCCCAGGAGAGCATCTGCTCCATGCCTAGAGGTCCTTGGAGGGCAGTGCAGCCAGGTGCCTGTCTGCACTGAGGCCTGTGGTGGCTCCAGGGCCAGCAGATGTCTAGCTTTCTACCTGAGCACAGCTGCCAGTCCTCTGCTCACCAGAGGGACCAGCCCAGGCCCAGCTGTGGGAGTTTGGGACTTACCAGATAGATGGTGCAGGGCTCTGGACTCAGACCTGCTGAGCATAGGCAGAGGCCACCAAGGTCCCAGTTGTGGCCTCAGGAAGGTGAGAAGTTAGATAATGGAGCCTGGGGTGGGGTGTGAAGGGGTGTGGTCCCAGAAGTAGCTGCAGGCTCCTGAGTTTCCCCTGCCCTCAAGACCCTCATACGTTCTTGCGGAGGGGGTTTCTGTATTTCCTTTTACAAATGAAACAAGGTGGCAAAGGATGGGAGTGGGGGAGGGAGGACATGGGGCCTATTTACAGGGGACTTGGAGGGAGTTTGAGGTGGGAAGTCCAGGATGGGGGCAGGGAGGGGGAGCCCTGGCAGAGCCATAATTTTCCTATGTCATTGGCAGTCTGAGTCCTGCTGCCACCCCAGGAGGATCCTGGGGTCTGCTCAGCCCCAAGAGCCCTGAGTCCCAGCAGTCCATACCAGCACCCTGGGGCTCCTCCTCCCCGCAGGATGTGTTAAGTGGGGTGAGGCTCGCGGCTGGGGCCCTGCTCTCGGCCTGAGTCTCGGTCCTTGGCCTCCGAGGAGGATGATGAGGAGCTGGAGCCATGGCTTCGGCCTGACTGCCGGTAGGCGGTGCTCAGCTCCTGTAGCCGCTCAGGTGTCGGACCCCACTTGGCAAAGCCAGGGTCATTCTGCAGGAAGAGCACGGCTGTGTTGTGGACGGCCTTGTAGTGCATTTCCTCCCTGCGGGCAGAGGCAGCGGCTCAGGGTAGGGCTCAGCCTGGCCAGCCCAGCCCTCCTACCCCTGCCCTCCCCGGGCACCCACTTCTTGCAGATGTGCTGGGACCCACTGCGGTACTCATGCTCGAAGGCAGGCAGGACCAGCTGGTGGCGTTTGAAGCGGCTCTGCTCCATGCGGGTGAGCACCGGTGTCGGGGGTTCCCGCCACTCAGGGATGAACACGATGAAGGACAGGGGCTCTGGTGAGCTCTCCAGCAGTTTCTGTGGGAGGGGGCACAGGGTGGACATCAGGGGCTGCCCTCCAAGAGGCTGGCAATCTGGCTTGGCAACCCCACACTAGCAGCAGCAGCAGACCCACCTCGAAGTGAGAAACCATGGCATCCATGAGCTCCTCGCAGAACGGAGGGTTGGCCTCAAAGGAACCACTCAGCGGGGAGAAGTCCAGGCAGGGCCTAGGGACAGAGGTGAGCATTCTAAGTCCCACCAGGGCTAAGTCCCTCAGCCAAAAACAGGTGCCACCCCCACCCTTAGACAGCCACATTAAAGAGATGGCTCTAATCAGGCCAGAGGCCAACATTCAGCCTTAGTTCTTCCTGGGACAAGGTGTGGCCATCTCTTCTGAAAGGATGAGGACATAGAGAGGCTCAGGCTTGGCAGCCTAAGTCCAAAAAGCTGATAAGCAGAGGAGTGGGAGCTCGTATCCAGTGCTGACACCCACTGCCACCACAGCAACAAGCCGCACCCAGGAATTCCCTAGCTGCTGAGCTTTCCCTCTTGCTGGCCTGGCCCTGTCTTCCTACTGGAGATAGCATTATCTCATTCCATCTGTGCTCACCTCCCACCCCGCGTTAGTCTGTAAGGTCTCTGAGGTCTATATCACCACTTTCCATTCCTCTCAGTACTCCAAACTTCGGCTAATTCACTGAGAACCCCATAGGCTTGGTTGGAGGGAATCACAGGCTCCCAGAGGTCCAGTACTGTGTCCAAGGTCATACATACAGTTGATGGGGTGAAGGCAGGGACTATACCCAAGACTGCCTGACTCCAAAGCCCTAAAGCATTAGGAAGTGGCTGGTTGAGGTGGGATCTGTGCTCTGGAGGACAACTTCCTGGGCCCAGGCAGGAGGGGCCCAGCAGCCGCTGGCTCTCACCCGCGGGAGCCAAAGTAGCCGTCTGTATCAGGGAAGGCAGAGCAGTACTGGCGGAAGTAGCAGTTGAGGGGCGAGGCGAAGCACTCGAAGCTGACACCAAAGAGTCGGTGGAGGACCTCGAAGACATGCACCGGCAGTGATCCCTGCAGGCCTGTCCCCTCGTAGAGGCCCACGCCAAACATCATCTGTAGAGTGACCACTATCAGCACCTGGGGCTCAGACTGCCCCTCCAAAGGAGCCCTCCCCTGCTGCCCCAGGCCTGTACCTGGTACCGTCGAAGAAGACACCAGACTCGGGGCAGGAACCTCTCAAAGGCAGAGTCGTCAATGCAGCTGTAGCGGTAAAGGAGCCACTGTGGGACAGAAAGCAGGGGGCTTTAGGTCCCTCCCTCGTCACTGGCCTCTTGCTGAGGACTCTGGGTCAAAAAAGATCCAGCTCTCATTTCTCCCACCTGATGGGACCTGCTTCCCCCCTCCCCTTGCTTCCTCTTCCTCTTACCAGCTTGCTGAAGTAGTTGCGGCTGACCTTGACCATCTCCCCCTTATACCGGATGCAGACCACATTATTCTCCATATGCATCTCCACGCTGGGCATGGGGGGCGCAGACACCGCCAGCCGTACTGGGTAGCAGTACACCAGCCGGGGCTCTACCTCTGGGGCCTCCACCTCCTCTGCAGACAGGGAGAGCAGTGAGGGGTCATCCTGCCCCTGCTCTGCCAATGCTCACCCCAGACAGCCTCAGTGCCCACTGTGCCAGGGGCTTCCCACCACATCCCAGTAACTAAGGGAGGTACGTCTCAACCCCCCGAGTAAATGAAACTCCAGCAGTTCAGCAACAACAGCCGGGGAACTGGTAGAAGCAAGAACTGGTGGCTTGTGTCAATATGCTCTGTACTGATGCAGGCCCCCAGTGTGCCAGACCTCAGGGTCTGGTAGGCTCAGGTGCCATGCAGAGAGGTACAATAACTGCATTGCCTTCATCATCATAATTACAGTACTCCATTTAGAGATCTTTTTGGGCCCAGCAATTTGAGCTACCATTGAATCCTCACAGCATCCTATGGCTAGGTATCAGACCTCAGTTTGAGGAAACTGAGGTCTGCAGAGAATGGGTATAAACGCAGGTCCACCTAATTCCTTACCCCTGTCTGTCTTTCTCTGCCACCTTTTGGCTCTCCCTTTCTCCACACTTCTGTTTGCTAGAGTACTGCGAAGACCCCTGACCAAAGGACACAGCAGGTCCTGCCCCAGGCAATGCTGGGAGAAATGCACCTCCCCAAACCAGTCCATGGCCTTGAGGCTCAGCCTCACTTGTCCCTTCAATCGGGAGCCTGGAATAGAGAGTTGATGGCATCACAGTTAGCTCCCTGCCACCTGGCCCCCTACCTGAGATGTTGTTTTCCTTGAGGATGGCAAGGTGCTTCTCTCGGATCCTTCTGACATACTCCAGGGAGATGTGGTAGATCTTACTGCAGATGCCTTCCACAGAGTCCTTGGCCGCAGCCGAGACGTGGGGACCACACTGCTTCCGCAGATGCTCCAGGCGATCCTGGAGGAGACACTCCTGATGAGGGCTCTAGTGGGTGGGCAGGAGAGGGCTGCTGGACTGCAGCAATCCTTGTTTTGAAACCAGCTCTGCTACTTACTAGCTAGTGTCACTTAGACAAATCCCTTGGCGTTTCTCTCATTCCTCAACTATTAAGGGAACAGAAAATACCTAACAAAGCAGCTGGCATATTAATGTGATCATTCCCATTAAGGGCTACCAAGCCCCTGGCATACAGTAAGTGTCCAATATATGCCTGCACCTAACGTTTGGGTTATACTGTGCCAGATGCCATGATGCTTGCTGGGGAAGCACAATCAGGCATAGTCCGTTTATAAAGCATTTGCAGTCTATCAGACCATTACAAAATGGGACCCTAGGTCACTGCAAATTTGAAATTTGAGCTTTTAGCAACTTGCAAGGATAAACGTAGGCATTTATAATTTTTGTTGAATCACACGTGTGAAAGTAATGAGTGAAAATGAATCACTGGCTAGTGAGCACACCTACCTTTGTCACTACGTGTCAAGTACAGTTACTATCGTGAAGTGGGAAACCTTGCCTCTTGTGAAAAATGGTCCTGAAAAGAAAGCCCATTGCTAGTGCTGGTGGAGAATTAAAGAAATGATGGGTTTGGGCCAGAAAAAACTATTTTGGACACATTAAAATGGGAATTAATTCTTGTGGTAGCTCTTAACTGTGATATGAACACACACCCCCAAGAAAAGGCAGTTTCAATCTGTTTCCAAAAATCTACTCAAGGGAGATGTGGACCATTAAGTTGAAAAGGCAGCTATTGGTGTGTGTGGCTGAGCACAGGATTCCATTAGGAACCTTAACAAAAATGTTCCTTGGGAGAAAGTTGCCTAGACAAGCAACTCCATATCCATGAGTTTCGGGACATGAGTGTCAAAGGGCCGCTGTGGGGCCCTGCTCAGCGTGGGCAGGCAGAGTGGGCTTCATGGAGGAAGTGGCCACAGAGCCCTTTCCATTGGCCTCACCCAGGGCCACTCACCATGTAGTCCTCCTTGGAGGCTGAGTGGTCCTTCCGCAGCCAGCTGAAAGTGTCCTCCACGTTCCACTTGACCACCTTCCTGCTGTCAGGGGATGCACTCCTACCGGTTGAGGGTGCATAAGTGAGCCAGCAGTTAAGTGTCTGCTCTGCCCTCACTTCCCCCATCCCGCTTCCACTGGCTTTCAGGCATCAACCCCTAGGCTTCCTTCGCAGCCTTTGTTCTGCCTTTGGGAGCCAGCCCCACTTTTGCCACCAAGAGCAATGACAGGCTTGTGCAAGTGAGCCAGATGGCCTACAATTCTCCCCCACTCTGCACCCCCGCCTCTGATCACAGACTCATCCTACTGGGGACAGGAGAGACAGCCAAACCTGGACTCGATGAGTCGCCTGGCAGCCTCTGCATATTTAAAGAGCAGGCGCTTGGCTTCCTCCCGGAACTTGATTCGGGATAACCTGGGTTAGAGAGTGGGCAGTGTTAGAGCTCTTCTATACAGAACTGGGCACAGAAACTAAATGGCCCTGGGCTGGCCTCAGCTGTGGAGCTGTACCTGATGGGAATGTCATTCATGATTTCTCGAAACATGGAAGGCGATACAACTGGTTCACAGTTGCTTGGCAACAGGGGGTCAGAGCCTTTGTCCACGACCTTGCGTTCCAGCATCCAGCGGTTGAAAGATTCCCGAGGGGGCTCAATGCCTGCAGAACAGGAAAATTGATGACAGTCTGGATTGAGTCAGCAGAGTCCATGCTGCCCAGCACATAGGAGGCATCGCATGGGCACCAGCAGTGCAACGAAACGAGAGGCCCTGTTATGTCAGGAGCTTCCACTCTAGGCAACATCTTCCGAAGTATATTCTGAGAATCACTAGTTTTATAAAGGATGTTAATAAGTGTTTATACAGAGTAAAAAGGGGGCGGAGTCTATATTTCAGCATAGTAAAGAAGCTTCCAACAGTGCCTAGTGAACAGTAAGCACTCAAAGTGTTAATGACTCTGTGGTTACTGATCTCAGCCACCCTTTACACAAGCACTAGTATTGTTCCTCTTACAGATGAGGAGACCGAAGTGCAGAGTTTAAATGATGAGCCTAAGGTCGTAAAGCCAGCACTTGGAGTGGTAACCCCAACGGGCCTATCCCCTCCATAGCACATGCACTCAACCACTGACTGGGCTCCCTGGTGCCATTCCCCAGGCCCAGCAGGCTGACACCTGCTCCTGCTCAAGGTGGATGGAAACAAAGGAGGCCCAAAGAGGCAGTTACCCTCTCGCTGCTGGCACAGCTCCCGGTAGTGCTGCCGAAGCTTCAGAATGAGCTGGGAGCGGAGCAGCTCCACCTCGGGATGCGGGGGCAGCACCTCCGAAGGTCCCCGGTGCTTGATGACAGCATTGGTCTGAATGTCTAGATCCCAGTACACCCTGGGGGCACAGATAGGAGCAATGAGAAAAGTAAAGAAGAGGGAAGGAGGGGCACCCCGCCTGCCACCATACCCCACAGTCCGGGCATGCTGGCCATCAATGGGCGCCCTAAGCCAATCCGCAGGAACTCACTCAGTGGGTCGGAGGAGAGCTGCCTGCTGTTTATCTTCAGAGGATGTCCCCCAAATCTTCAGTGTTGGGGTTCCTGGGACATTGGGGGAGCTGGGCACCGATGGGCCTGTGGGTGTCACAGGGATTTCAATCTGGAGCAAAAGAGTCAAAGGCACTGAGTTAGGAGAGTTGGCTGATGGCTCCGGCGCTGTGTGTACCCGGGGAGCTTAACCCCAGGGCCCCCTCCCAACCAACCCGCCAACGCCCGGCCCTTGCAAGGAACCTGCTGGCTGCTGACCTGGGCCAGCCACATACCAGCTAGTTCCCCAGAGCCCGCAGAAACTCACCTTAGGCTTCTTCACACCATTGCCACTTGGCTGCTCTTCTGTGAGCTGCTGCTTTCGGGGCCTGCTCTCAGCAAGGGGGGTTTCCACCAAGCTTGAGTCTTGGGGCAGTGGGGTCGCATTCAGCCCTAAAGGGTCCGACTGGAGGAGGGAGACCAGCAGTGTTGCAACCAGGGCCAGTGGCTTAGGAGTCCCAGTACCATGGAATCTCAATGTCTCCCTCCCCCACTCCTACTCCTTGGAGAAGAGCAGAGGGGCTGGGATGCAGAAAGAACACTGGGCTCTACTCCTGCCTGCTACTTGCAACTGTGTGACCTTGGGGATTACTTCTCTTCTTATTCCCTCACTTGCAAAACAGCCATGCTGAGCCCTGCTTTGCCACTGACACAATGATTAAACAAGTCAATGAATATGACCAGCTTAATGTGACAACTAGCATGAGATCAGCACTCAATACACATTTTTTCTCTTAAGAACCAAGATAAAAGTCAGAAATAAAGGAAAAACTCAAGAAATACTTGTTCAGAAAGCAAGGCCCCATGAATGGAACTCCTGTGATGACACTAAGAGTATGAATGTGATGGTAGGCACTGTGGCCCAGAAATCACATCAGGTGCAAGTCCTGCTCTGCCTCTTACTGGCTGTGAGGTCTTGGGCCAGTCATTTCCCCTCTCTGAGACTCAGTGTCTTCATCTGCAAAATGGGGATACCAACTGGCTTGACTGTTCCCAAGAAAAGAAAGTCTTGCCCTAACTGAGAGACCCAAAGGCCCACGCTCCCACCAGATCACCCATACTTCCCCTACCACACTGAAATTGTAGTTCCTAACCACATTCCCCCTTAGTCAATCTTCTCACCTTAAAACGCTAATTCCGAAAAGCTTTCCCTGTTCCCATCCACCCTCAGACCCAGTCAGGATCCATTCTGCATGCAAGTGCCACATTGTAATCCTACTGGCCCCCTCCAGCAGATAGTGTGCCCCTGAGAATGCAAGGGCAGGACCACTTCTGTCTTGTTCACAACTGTATCCCTGGCACAGTGCCCAACATGTACTACATGTTCAATATCACGCGCTATTTCAATCATCCATTTATATATCAGTCTCTCAGGTTCCATGAGGGCAGGGATTGTGTCTGTCTTGTCATTGTACCCCCAGGACTAGGCACACAACAGCTGCTCAGTGTACATTTGAGGAAGACCCAGATGCCAGAAGCTGCTCTGAGACCCCTTCCCTAGGCTGGCACTCACAATCACGTCATGCTGGCCCAGCACGGGCATCTCCCAGAGGGACTGGTTGGTGAATCGGTTGAAGTAGTAGGGACGGTTCTCCCTCCTGCTCCAGCACTTCTCCCAGCCCGCATGCACCAGCTCCTCTGCAAACAAGCACGGAACCCAGCCGGGGTCAGGGCTGCTTCTGGGGCAACCTTCCTACCCCGCCACCCTGCCACTGCCCCTCGCCAGTACCTGGGAGGTCCTGCACCAGGCGGATGGGCTTTGGAGAGCAGGGCTGGCTCTGATTGGAGGTGCCCGGGGAGTGACTCAGCAAGGACGCTTCCTCCCGGGGGCTGCCGTGATTCTCATTGGCCATCTCAGCACCCACACCGGACCTGCCACACAGAGGACCAAAGGGTGTCAGGGCCAGCAGGACATGGAGGTCAACTCCACCCACCCACCCACCAGTTACAACCCCGGGACCCCAGGGACCACCTGCAGGTGTGCAGAAATCAATCCAGTCCTGTCCTGGAGGGCCAGCATGGTGCCACAGGAGCCCTGGGATCTAAGTTGCAGTTCCCTCACTGTAAAACGGGTCCACTCTTGTTTCTCCTTCTGTCTGAAATTCTCTTTCCCCAATTCTCTGCCTGGCTTGCCACTAGGTTCACTTTTCCAAGAAGCCCTCCTTGACTAACCCCACCCCAAGCCAGGTGGTCAGAGCCCCTCCTCAGGGCCATGAACACCTGCATTGTAGCACTCACAAAGTCTGGCCTATCAGCTGGGTTTGTCTCCCTGTTAAGGCTGTCAGAACTCCCAGGACTAGGAACTGGGTACAGTTTAGCTCTCTCCAGAGTGCTCACCAAGGCACCTGGACCCGACGGGAGCTCCGGTCACTCTGCAAGTATTTACAAAGCACCTGGAGTGACAAGACAGAAAAAGGGCTGCCCTTGCAAAGATATTTCCACAAGAAGGCACTGTAGTTCCTCTTTCCTGTTACTATCCAATAAAATCTAACTGGCACAAAGCACAGCCAGGGAAGGGACATGGCATCTAACTGGATGCCTCATTTTACACTACAGGGCAGGAAGCAATCTGTTGCTAAAAGAACCAGTGGAACTGAGAAAGAGGATCTAATTCAGTCCTTCAAAATCCCGAGGTGAAATTTTATTTAAATACCAGGAGGTGGTCAGCTCCGTCAGATTTGTATTCCCTACTGCCCCCACCCAAAACACACCCAGTGTCAATGGCCAAAGTAGTTCCCATCCTGGCTGTTATGGACTCCTAGGTGGCCAGCTGAGTTGGGACTGGTGAACTCCTAAGTGTTTTCAATATCACAATACCCAAAAGAAATCAAACATTTACCCACAAAAAGACCACAAAGGCACATTTTAACATCAGTTATCTTTGCTTGCTGAAATTTTATCAACTTATTGTGGTCACACTGATTATCTCATGCTGATCAGAAGCTCTGATTGGCTGTTGACAACATAGGAATCATTGGGACATTGATTTTATTGTACACTCAGTCGTAGACATCTTTGTTAATTTGGAAAGGGAAAAGTGAATCGTTACTTCATCGGTACAGTCTGGCAGATAAAAACACAGGGAGCAAGAGGACATACATACAACAAGGGGCCATGATAACAAAAAGGTCTGGAACCACTAACCAAGGGGAGAAAAAGCTGTAGCTGCCTTGGTTCTTTAGGGATGAGGGGTTCCCGGTGCCTTGGGGCTGAGCCCATAGGTATCAAGGCTGAACGAGGTCCCTCTTTTTCTCACCCTCCGGGGTCTGCAATGCTAGCATGAGAGTGTTTTCTTCTCCGGCTGGATGGACCCCCACGGCACGGGGTCCCACAGAGGCAGGGGGAAGGCCTGTAGGAAGGTTCAGCACAGGTGGGTGGGCTGGTCAGCAGTGGAGTGGATGAGGGCCCAGGGAATTCCTTTCATCAGCAACTGAAGAGCAAATAGAAAAAATGAGTCACAGACCTGTGAAATGCTGCAGAACAGGGACAAAAGCAAGAGGGGCAATGACAGAGCAAGTTAGAAGCCCCCAGGACCGGACAGGGCAGGACACACTGTGGGAGATCTGGGGTTCTAGGGGCGAAAATGGTAATTCTCAAGCTTTCCAACCAACAGGTTCACATTCATGAACTTGCAGCCTGCATAGTTGCACAGGGCCCCATGTTGAGGAGGGTCCTGAGCCTGGTTTTAATGCTCTGTTGTCACTGTCTTGTAATTTTTAATACATGTTTGACAAGGGGCCCACATTTTCATTTTGCACACTGGACCCCTGCAAATTGTGTAGCTGGTTCTGCTTACCAAAGTACATCTAAAACAAAGGTGAACAACCATACATATAACAAATTGGGGGCAAGTCCCAAACCCCCCATAGTGGGTGGAAGACACACTTCTTTGAGGTCTTTAAAAAAAAAAAACACATGCAAATGCATTATCTAACACAGCATTTCATCTTTATTGAAAAAAATTTTCCCCAAGAAATACTGTGATACTGATGCACCAGGCAGATAAATTATGCAAAGGAGGCACTGTAGCACAGCTTAGGCCGAATGGGGACACTGCAGTGTTTCCGAAACCGGCTGTCCATCAGAATCATCAGGGGGTTTGTAAAAAAACAGATTTCTGTCCCTCACTCCACATCTTAGGAGTCAGAAAAGAGGGACGTACACCAGAATTTGTATTTTTAAATGCATCTCAAGAGGGACTGAGAGAAAGCACAACCAATCTTTTTGCTTTACACCATTTCAAATCTTTACCAATTTTTGCGATTAAAATTTTTTTAAAATTTCCCAGCTGACTTGGAGGTAGCACGTCGGTGGCCGAAGTACCAGCTCTGGGTTTGGACAGACCTGGGTTCCAAACCCTTCTGCTGCTTTCCGATTTATAAACCGGAATCACTCAACCTCTATGGTCTCTATGTGTAGAAGTTAGCACATCTATATACACTCTCAGTAAGAGATAACTCCTGTTATTAACGTTTTTATTTGTTCTGTGGCTCCCTGGCCCCCACGCATACCGCAATTTTGACAGTGCCCAGCAGTTTAAAGATAAACGGCTGTATCTGCGCAACTAAAGGAACCCACCAGAAAGAAGAGTCCGATTCCGGGATTGGAGGAAGACGGGGCAGGATAATCTCAGTAATGAACCAATCACCATCCTCCAGCCCAGTAGGGCGGAGTCAAAAGACTTAAAGAGTGCGCAGGTGCGGGGGGGGGGGCGCGAGGCGGGGCGACCCCCAGCGCGCGCACACCTTCCCTACCCCCCAACCCGAGGGGGCGGGGG